ACTGAATTGCAAAGTTGAAATTATTTGTTTGAAGTATATTAGAATTTTAGTCAGAATTGAAAATAAAATCTGAATTATTTTCGACAAAAAAAAATCTGAAAAAAAAATTTTGGACGATTTTGGATTTTTGGACGATTACAATAACTTTTAACAATTACAATTACTTTTTAAGTTTTTATTATTTTTTATTTGAATTCATATTCTTTAAATTAATATAGTTTTTTGAAAAATTTACAAACAAATTGAAGTTTATAAAAACTGCTCAATAAATTTTTACATAGAATTTATCAACATGATTCCTTATTTGATCAAAAAAGTATATTAATTTACCCTCTAGTTGTGTTTAACAAAAAAAATATATTTCTCTGAGTAAAAAGATGGTATGTCAAACATTAAAAACAGCAATTTTTAATTATTTTATATAATTAAAATAAATTTTGAATAATGAATTATCTGGCTGCTGTTAATTATATTTTTACCACGCTATGTGTTGTTTAATATTTACCGCCTTTGATAAAATAATGCTTAAATTTCAGTATCAAAAGAATTCTTTCGCACAAATATGCGCTCATAATTTACAACAATTACTTGCAGGTTATTTACCTCAAAACTTATAATTATGAACTCATCGAATGAAGCACCATTTAATCAAAAATGATTTAATTAAAACGACTTCATATAAATTAACTCAATCATTTTTCTGTCTAATTATGATATAATACATTACCGTTATGTGCAGAACGGTATCGCACCAATAATGATCGATTTTATACAATAATTGTATGGAGTTTTCCTAAGTCTGTGAGAAATTTGGCTAACGATCTTGATTCAATATTAATGATGAATGACTTGCCAATAATGAAGCAACAAGGAAAAAACAAAATGTTGACTACTGGTAATGATGGTACAGAGCTTGTGAGAAAATACTCAATTGTGAGGATGAGATGTCATCAACATGGTAAATTGACAAATGGAGTAAGAAAAATTACTGTTAAGGAATAATAAGGATAATCTAGTGTTCCAAAAATAGATAAAAATACAACGTTTGAAGTAAATGCTAAAATTTTTCGTGTTCGAAATATATCTTTAAAAATTAATTTATAAAAAGTATGTAAGTAAGCTTAGGAAAGAGCAATCAAGAAACATTCGTTGAAGATTAAAATTTTTAAATAAAAAAAATTGAATCAAATCACTTTTGTGCCCTGTAATAATTTTAAAATAATTCAATGTATTTTTACACTACAACTAATTAGTATATCATAAGATCTCAATTGACACGCATAAACCGAATGTCATCGAAATAAATTACAAGGTAAGATTATAATCAACTGTAATATTACTATAAATTAGCAGTAGATGCTAGTGATTTTATCTTAAAATGCATTTTAACTAGATGTAGGTGTAGGTAGCATTTTGTTTGTATGCCAACTTTCTGACATGTGTAAATCGACTTAATCAATGAGAAGTGAGATTTGCAATCTTTTAAAATTGTGACAATAAAATTTTGAAATATGAAGACCAATGTTATTATTACCAATTTTCGTAGGCCTATAGTATTTTAGAATGTTTGTTAAAGCCATAAACTCCATCATCACACACAATTTCATCATAATGATATAATATATAAAAACAATCAGAAAATTATTAAATTTCCAAAATCTCCACAGGATTTTTCCCGAAAACTTAGACAAATTTGGACTTTTCTGCTTATTCTTGAAAAACAGTTTGACCAATGGTATGGCAAAATTAATTAACGCAAGTCCTTGACAAACTTCATCGAATGGATTTTAAATGATTAAAAATCAGTTTAGCCGTTTTGACATCAAATGTCAAGTTTTGGCTCAAACTTGACACATATTATCAATTTAAATAGTAAACGATTCAGAATAACTTGAAACTACCAGAAAGCATAAAATTAGCGTATCAGATTTTCTGGCGAAAACGTGAGCTTTTTCTATAAAGAATTAAAAACATAAGATTTGTTTGAACTTAGAGTCCATAACCGCTGAATCTTTCCAAAAATTTAAACAGTTCGTCGTTTAATCAATATAAATAAAATGTTTTTTGAATTATTCAAATCGGAAGCTCCGTTCTCTCAAAAACTGAATTACGATTTTTGGCTCTTTTTTGCGTTTCAGTTTCGTTTGAGAGAACGAACAAGAAACATTCAATTAGTAATGACGGTGTTTAGTTTTTGGCAATGGCAGGTCCAACCGTTTTGGAAACACCAAGCTAAATGTGCAAAAAATGGCAGTTTTTGAGGAAACTAAGCATCCGATTTGAATGATTCAAAAAACTTACTACTTGTTTTGACAAAATAATTGCTTCTGGAAAAAAAATTATTTAATTTTTTTTACTGTTTTTTTTTTGTATGTCGAAAATAATTCAGGTTTTAATTTTGATTCTGGCTAAAGTTCCAAAGCTCACTTATATACTTTAAATAAATATTTTAACTATGCAATTCAGTTTATATAATTCTTATAAATATTAGACAATGTTACAATATTAATAATCCATTTGAAAACATTCAGTATTTCTCGAACCAGTCGTTACGGTACAGAAAGTTCCAGCAATTTGCTTTAAGGCACGATGCCATACACCCCACTAGTTTGAGAATGATTCTAAAGCTTGAGAAGTAATGGTCTTCTTGCTAATTTTATCATGTTATTGATAAAGCTCGAAGCAGAAAATTAATCACAAGCGACTACTTGGCGAATACTTTTAACCCGATATTTCAAGCCAACATTAAAACGCAATTAAGGTAAACAATAAGGGTCAGTTCTAGACCTAATCACCTAGTCATAGCCAAGTCATTACCCACGAAGACAATCGGACATTGTGACATTGCAGGAAACGGAAGCTATACGTGGTATCACAAGAGGAAGCGATCACGAACAAATTGAGACGCCAAAATTGACGAAAACAAAACAACAATTACAGTTGACGGCTTGGATTGAATAATGAACATCTACTTCGCCTGTAACCGTTTTGGTGAGGGCCAAATATGGATGGTGTCAATAGATCGAATTGGTGATAAAAATAAAAAGATGAAATTTAATTATATAACATATAAATATAGGTGGAACATAACGGAATTTAAATGTTCAGATAATTCCAAGACTTCAACACACCTTGGCATAAAACTAAGACGAAGGATCTGGATGTCTACCTTTTTACCCTGCCCATGGGGTATTAAAGCAATAGAACTTATCATAATTAGGAATTAATGAGTAATTTTTCTGAAAATAGCCCAATTGTTGGTACTTTGATGTACATCATGTATTGTGAAATCTGATGTAGTTCATTTAGTTTAGACCAGTGGTCGGAGAGCCAGGGTAAATTAACCAAATGGTGTAAAAATGTAATTTGGGGTAAAAAAATATATTTTTAATAGAAATTTACTGCATTTGCTACATATTTGTGCGTATGTTAAGTTAATCCCTCTTCGCCATAAGGTAATATTAATTTTGACAAAAATATTTTGGTATGATTATTAAAAAAGTTTCCTGACCGCTCGTTTAGACAGTACAATTACTGAAAGTCAAATTAAACCTTTGTATTCAGGTCCACCCTTTAGATAAAAATTTAAAGTTAATATTTTTATAAAATATTGATCACAATATTTGACATTGTGTTACAGTTATTGAGTTATTGCAAAATAATGTTGAATTTCTAGATTCAAAAGCAGCCAAATTTTTAGATTCGTAAAATTAAATTGAATGTCATTTTTAACTTCCCGTAGGGTAATTTATAGTAATCGCAAAAAATCGAAAATGAAAATTTTTGCATTTCTCGACGTTTCAAAGGTTTCTGAATATTTTGGCATACCTTAGAAAAAATGGATGTATGTGTGTGTATATGTGTGTGTGTGTTTTTAAATGTTAATCGCTATTTATATAGTTATAATAATTTTTGGTACGGGAAGTTCCAGAAATTTGCCTTAAGGCACGATGCCTTAATTGCCTTAAGACAGAATTCCACTTACAGCTAGTTAAGCACTTTTTGGTAAGTATTACCAGTATAAATTTTACCAAATCGCATAAGAGAAAAATTAATTTCATTGGTGATAGCTGGTTTATAATTAGGTATTATTGAAATTAAAAATATCTGAAAATCATACGTTTCATAAAATGGAAGTTTAGACAAAAATTAACAATTTAAGTTGCTAAAAAATTCATTTATGCTTACAGTAGATACATATATGCAATATATTGATGAACTTAAATTAAATTGAAATTGAATTTTTTATAAATTGGATGGTTTGATTAATCACAAAAAGTGTATTTATCATAATAGATAACGTATTAAATTATCGAGTCAACAAAACATTAACGTTTAATTATTAATTAGAAGGATACACTTAAAAAAAATTATAGAGACAATGGCTTTTGAATTTGTAAAATTTGTGCAGGCGTTTCTCAGGATACAAAAAATAAACCATTTAAAATGCATGTATATATATTATAAATAATTTGCTTTGAATTGTTATAAAAAAATACAATTCAAAGCTTCATACGTTTCTGTAATTTTGAATATTTCTATTCAAAAGATTAAAAGACGGGTCTGATAATTTGGGGTCAAATGTAAATTGAACCGAAGGAAAACATCGGTTCGCCCGTTTCTCATGAAATAAGAAGTAAATAATCTACATGCATGAATAAATATAAAATAAAAAACAATTCAAAGGTTCTATAATTCTGCATAAAATTCAAGCACATCTGATAATTTTATGTGGAGTCGAACAAAAACTAATGAATTTATAACTCCAATTTATATTTGCATCAGTTAGAAAAAATCTTATTAAAAATGTAGAGTATCCGATTTATCACGATTATAAGACAACGAAAGATATATCATATCTAAAATATAACATTCATATTTTTTACACATTGCATACAAAAACCACCATAATCCTAGATTTTAAAAATCGTCAAATTTCACCTGCCGAACATATTTATGTCAAGCTCTATCTAATAAATTAAACATTAACTACGACTTACCCACATTCGGCGTTCGTTTACATGTGACCGTCTAATGATCCCGTATTACATAATGTTATTCCTGTCCTGAAAAAAAACATAAAAAATTAAAATCCCGTCGATTCGTCCAAGCATCACAAAACGAAACGAAATGAAGAGTGAGAAAGGGTCAAGTGACCCAGCGAGGGGTTTTAAAAAACTTTATATGTGTATAGGTAAATAGTAACTAAGGTTAGTTAGGACCTTTTCACATTTACTGAAGTAAATTTATATAAAAGGAAATATTAATTTCTTTTATATAAGTTTAATATTAATACACATGCTGCCATGCGGATGTCGTTCATGGAGGACAGTTTTACACGGGTAGTAAAGTGGATGTCGTCCATGAACGACATTCATAGCAAACGGGTGAAAAATGTGTATGCCTAGGTGTATGTATGTATTTAAGTGAGCATATACGAGTATGTATATATGTAAGTATATATGTTAGTCACAATGTAACTTTTTATAGAAAAATTAAGAATTTATTTTTGTTCTAATATTGCCGTGATCTGTTTAACTAGATTTTTTTTCATCTGAGATACATACAGTATGTATGATTTGTATCAAATAAATAAACAAACAAAAATTAAAATTAAGAAAATAAAAACGTAAGTATAAAATCAATCAACTAATAAAACCTTTATATGAAATTCTTTAATACTATGCTTTGATGCTAATATTTTATTAATTTGAAGCCAATAAAATTAGTAATATAACAAAAAATCTAATTCAATTTATAGAGACAAGAATTATCAATCCCGAATTTTTTCCAGTTTTCTCGAAGTTTTTGATATGCCTAAAACTAGGACAGCAAATTATCTAAAAATTGTAATATGCTATTTAATATCATGATTTAGTATACCCGGAGTAGAAAGATTTTATCTGTTAACGTTGAAAAAAAAATTTTTTTTTAATAATATATATAAGGTCATCAACTTTATAAAGATGTATAAAACAAATTAATGAAGTAAACTGAAAGAACTGAAAAAAGTAATTAAAATAATTTAAATATAAAATATGTGTAAAATTTAGATATGGACTTAATACAACATCAAGATCGGTATTAGCTTATTTGAACTAATAAGGTTAATATTTCCAATGAGATATTAAAACTGTACTGCTGAATTATATACAAATTAATAGAAAATTTATGATTAAACTTGAATAGTATGTAAAAAAGTGTATGAACTTCTATTAAACAAAAACTAAAGTGAGAATTGGTCTTTACTCGGTCTTCCTGCTTCTATTATTATCTACAAGTAAAATCAGAATCATATGGGAAGAAGGACTAGACACTACCATGATTTTTTTTCTTTGCAACAGACGGGTTTAAGAATGAGTAATTCTCACTTTTAGGCCATAAGTCCTTGGATAACAATTTTTAATAAGAATGATTCTCAATCTTTAAAAAAATAAATGAAAATATATTTTCATAAAAATACCTGTAAATGAAGAAATGTGTAATTAGTGTAGGTAAATCAATAACCAGTTAAGACGTTGTCTTACATATGATTTATAAAAAAATGTAAATATAAATAATCGTTGACTGATTCGCATTCTTGATGTTTAAAATATTTATTTCAACAAAAATTTGATATATAAAAAATTAATAATTATGAAGAAAATTCTATGGTGGATTTCCTGACACAAAACCATCGATAGTACTCGTATCTCTCTAGGACGAATAACAGGTTATATTATCATAACTTATCACATAGTATTAATTACCATAAACTTATGTCAAATACAACTGTTTCTTGTCCTTGTATAATAAAATATTAACAGATTTCTACGGATGTTGACATAACAATTCTGCACATAAATCTTGGCAAATACTGATTGTATAATAACTAGCAAGTGCTTTTTAAATTACTGTTCCAGACTTAGAATCAGAAATGATACAATGAGACGTAGAAGTTTTTGAATTTCCAATTAAATATTTTATTCTATAAAAAGATTCATAATTTAGAGGTATCTTGAAAATGAAGATATATAAATAACAATTGTATGTGTATTCACAAGACTTAATTCGGAAATGCATTAAATTAAAATAAAATACTTTCGAAATGAATAAAAATGTATTACAAAACTTATCGTTTACAAAAATATAAAAATATCATGACATATTGTTTTTATTATCCTTTACGCCAGAGCTTATTTGATCGCCACATCACTCCCCATTCAGAACAGATATTTGTATATATGAATATTTGCGTACATGTTTTTTTGTTTGCGTGGATTAAATATTTTACAGTTTATTGCAAAAAACAATAAATTAAGCAAATATTATTATTGGTGCATGAGTTTATTTGTTCCTAAATGCGTCAAAATAAAAAAAAATTAAATAGCAGTTTGGAGAACAAAATGTGTCTCATTATTCATCTGAATAATATACAAAAAAACAAGCACAAAATATTATAAAAACGCTAATAATAGTTTAATCACTCTTTTTTTTATTTGCACCTTTATAATTATATAATAAATACTTTTTTAGTTATACATTTGACTGTTAAGTAATCCAATCATATGTTTCAGCTTCAAATTAAAAATCCTCAAAGTATATAATTTTTAAGGAAAGAAATTAATTACCTACTGCTAAGAGCAAGGAAGTAGAAAAGAAATCTGCTGTATATGATTGTAGAAAAAAAGAGGAAACTGGATTGGAATATTGTTAGAAAAAGAAAGCCCTCTACATGATGTCATTAAAAAAATGAAGAAAGATTCTGATGATACATAGTATTAATTACTACAAACTTATTAATTATGTCATATATTATAGCTTTTGCTTCTTGTGATTTTTAGTAAATGATTTCAGATAAAAAAACCTTAAATTTCATAAAGAAAGTACGAATTAATTTGAATAAAATGAAACATAACTGATCACCTCAATTAATATATTATTTAAGAAATCAATATATATTAATTATATTAATTAAATAAAGAATATAAAAAATATAAAATAAAATACTAATTATTCAGAAAATTAATATCAATATATTTTTGCACCTATTTTTTATATTTTATAGAAATTTAAAAACTACATAAAAAGGGAAAAAGCAAGGAATTGAAAGAGAAGGCACAAAGCTCAAAATATCATGAAAAAAAAAATTCATTTCAATTTTAAAAAAGTAAAAGGTGTTATATAAACAAAATTTAGATAAGGAAATTATATATTTAGACTCACTAGCCATTTTACAATATAATACTAAGAAACAAATTGGCTTTATAAGGAAAAACCATGAAATTTGGTGAATTTAGGAAATGTAAGTTTCTAAAGAAAAGTTTGGTTTGCCTTTTATATATTCCTTTACAAAAAAAACCCTTAATCCATGTTACATAACCAGAATTGTGAACCACACTGTCCACAGCCCATACAAACACATTCTTACAAAATCTACCTGCAGGTACCGTACCTGGCTGTCCTGTTAGAAATCAAGAAAGTATTGAATTTTCAAAAACCGGTTCCTACCCAAAACAAATTCTTGATGAATTCTTATAGTCTATTATGACTGACCACTACCTTTGTACACATACGGGATTACCGAAAGTAAAATTAAACTTATTCCTTTTGTGTCTAATATAATAAGTTTCTGGAGAATGTTTATACGATGGTATGATGCGTGTAAGGATAATACGATTTGGAGTTTGTCGGTCAAGGCAGACGGTATTTACTACGTCGAAAGTGAAACATGTAATTTTATGGTGTTACTTTTTAAAGACTTTTGGTCCTTGTAATCTTGATGAATGGTTTCAAATAAAGAACCTTGAATGTGGTAAAGGAAGTAAGTGTTGATTTGGATAAAATGAACCAGGAAATCGTAATCATCTTAATTAGTATTTTAGGACAAGATTTTATGCAAGAAGGACTTTAAATTTGGATTACTGAAACGTCATCTTGCTTTAGGGCACTTTTTCAATTTTAGTATTAATTTGTTCATAAGTTGTTTCAACTAATAATAAAATATCATACATTTGTAGAAGACTTATTAAATTCACTAACAAACTAGTAATTATTTATTTTTAACCGTTAGAACAAAAAATATTTAAAAAAATAATTTATTTATTTACAAAAAATACTTTAAAAATGAAGTTTTCAAATGCCATTTTTTGGTGACGCTTAACATTGTAAGGTAAAAGTCAATTAATTGTTATTCAGGTGCATTTGTTTATATTTAGCTTTATTTTGTGAATATTTTTTTCGGAAAAAGGTAATTTATTATTTATTATAAAAATTTTAATAAAATCAGTAATTTACTAATTTACTATTATTCAATAATTAAATAAAAATGTATCAAATGAATTCCTATTTTTTTTAAATATTCATTTTTGTTGTCTCTTACTCTTTTATGTATTCTATACTAATTTTAAGTCTTTACTATATTATATAAACATAAAACTAAAATTTTTTATTCGAACAATATTTATGATAGTAGTTACCAATTTCATTTTTAACTTCCCGAAGGAAAAGTTTATGTTTTTATCAAAAAATCTAAATCGCTGATTTTCTCGACTTTTCAAGCCCTTCTGAATCGAATGAGACCGAATTTGGACAAAGTTTGTGTGTGTGTATGTGAACAGATATTTTGTAAATAGACGTTTTCTCAAAAACCTCTTAACAGATTTCAAAAATTTAAAAGCCATTCGATAGTAGAAAAAATTTTTGTCGACGTTTCAGCTCTCAAATCTGAATCGATTTTAAAAAATCAAAAACTGTTCGAAAGATATTGGTTGGAAATGATATCGGTTAGTTTTAGGTAAAAATCTACCCGGCCGTTTTCTTGAAATTAACCCTTGCCAATTTGCCAATTTTTATAAATTTTATTCAAAATCGCAATGTTCGGATTTAATTGAAAGCGATAACTTTATTTTTGAAATAAACAGTTGAAAATTTTATCTAAATATCTAAATTTCAATATCAAATTGAATCAATTCTTACACATTTAGGAATGTTAGTGCAACTTATCACAAAAATATCAGAAGAAATTTTCAAACTATTCAAAATTTATGTTGTTT